AACTATCGAATTTAATATTTGCAATTGATTTTTTAGAAAATTTTATCAAGGGACCTTCTTATCATAAATTCATTGTTGTGGGGCTTTAATGTCATTCTTCCTATAAAATATTCAAAATTAAGCTCTTCCTCCTTCTTATAATTTATAATTTTTTATCATAGTTTTATCTTTAGTAAGTGGTAGAACTAGAAGGGTAAGGTGTGGTGACCTGGACACCTAGTTGTACATCTCACTGACCCATTCTATTTGTTGCGTTTTTTTTTTTTTTTTTGGCCAGAAGAAATTCATTCATTCAAGAACCAAACCCAAAAGGCAAAATCCAAAACACAAGTCTCCAAAGGAATACGCAACACAAAACATTTACCGAAAAAAGAATATTTGATGCAAAAATTGTCCAAGAAATGATGCTATTTTGCACTGAAAACTAAAATGTTTAAAAATTAAGGTTTTTTTATAAAGAGAAGAACAAAAAAGTAAAAATAAACCAGTACGATCAACTAGACAATAATCAATCCCTATCTAACAACTCTAAAACGAGAAACTAGGAGGAAACTGAAGAAAAAAAGTAATGAAACACCAAGAGACTGCTTAGCGAGCATGTCCAATTCTTTTTTTTTTTTTACATATAAAGACAAGCCCACAGGCTTGAGAAAGTCCGACAAAACAAACTGGATCAGTGCACCTCTAGGTTATTGGAGATACCATTACACTTAGCGAAGTCATCAAAAACGAAATTAAAGCATTCAAATGGAACATCCTAGAAAAAGGTGGGTACAAAGTCTCCTGAGTTAGCATTCCTCGCCATCTGATCAGCACACCTTAAAATATCTTTATAAGCATGATAAATGCAAATATCATCCTCGTTAGCTAAAGTAAGTTGCATATTCTGTATGATAGTTTCTAGTGGGTGGGCACATCCACCTCCTCTAATCAGCAAGTTTAAAGCTTCTAGAGTGTCCGTATGTATATTAATCTTCTTTAAGCCATTTGCTTTACAAATCTGAATTGCTGATTGAATAGTTCATAACTCTGCTTCAGTTGGAGAACAGATTCCCAGTCTTTGTTTGAAACCCAAGATCCACCTTCCCTATGAATCACGGATTACTCCCTTGCGTGCCGCAAGTCCTTCTTGTGTTACAGACCCATTCACATCAAACCGTAATTCTCCTTCCCCAAGTGAGTACCAATCTTGTAGATCAGAAGTCCGTGTTTGCAGCACTAATTGCTCAATTTTCCTAGTAGACAAGCATTCTCTAAGCTAGTGCAAAATTGAGTGATAAACTTTCTAAGCATTCATTATGGTTCCTTCAAAGACACCATTACACCTGTTTTTCTAAAGTCCCTAGCAAGCAAAGGCAAAGACTCTTTTCCATGGCCATTTTGCAATCAGGCCAGTACCAGCTTCATGATTGATATTCCATTTTATCCACTCCTGTAAGGAAAAAATTTGAAAAACTATGCAAATACATGGGGTTAGTCAAAAGTAACTAAAGATCTGTTGCTATTGGACAATCATGCAACAAGTGTAATATATTTTCCTCACTTTGACACTCAAAAGGACACCTTGCACTCTCACTAAGACCTCTCATGGCTCTTAGAAAGTTTGTTGGTAATCTGTCATGAGTTGTTTGCCAAAGGAACATTTTAATCTTCTCAGGTATTGGGAACTTCCAAATTTGCGGCCATGGACCATTCTGAGGCAGATCATTGGCTCTACTAATAAGAGCATATGCTGCTTTGATAGTGAAGTTTCTACCTAGACCATACCATCTCTAGTTTCCAAAACAGGAGGCCTAATCTAGGATATCCTTTCAATAATCTAATTAGGAAGGAAGCATCTCCACTCCATAATATTCCAGGCACCTGAAGGTAAGACGAAGTCTCTGACCCAAGCAGTGGGATTAAAGCAATTATCATTTGTCACCACATAATAAATCAAAGGGTGTTCAAGTGGTGCCAAAGATCCCACCAAAACTGAGTAGCCCGACCATTAATAAATTTCCTCCCCATTCCTTTCAAGAACATATCCCAAACCTGTGTAATCCCTCTCCATATTTGTGACAGCTGACGCTTCGGGCTCACTTGAGGAACATCATTCTCCCCACAACCATACTTTGGGCATAAACAAGAAACTCACAAAGCTGATTTACATAACCAATCCCCAACATAGCTTGAGGATCAAAGATATATTTTGATTCCTGAGATCCTTGAAACCTAAGCCCCCTCTATCTTTCCCTATTTTAATGGTTGGCCAAGAGATAAGATGCAATTTCCTTTGACCAAGGTGTTCATTCCATAAAAAAGACCCTGCTGATTTTCTCTATCTCGTCCAGTACTCCCTTAGGAAGGATTGTTGTTTGCATGTTATAGCTAGGTATGGCAGACAGCACCAACTTAACTAGAACTGATCGACCTACCATATTTAAATATATACCTTTCCAAGCAAGGAGCCTCTGTCGAACTTTGGAAACTAGTGGAGCAAAGGTAGCTCTAGTTACTCGCTTGTGAAAGAGAGGAACTCCTAGGTATTTACCAAGATCAGCTATAACTCCAATGCCCAAGGTCTCACTAAGTTGCATTTCACGATTAAAGTTTACATTTATTGAAACGAAAAGCTTTGATTTTGCTAAATTAATCCTGTGGCTTGACATTTTGCAAAACAGTTCCATAATGTTTCTAATAACCTCAATCTGGTCCAAGGACGCTTCCGCAAAAAGAAGCAGATCATCCGCAAAAAATAAGGTGAGAGTTTTGGACTTTTAGTAGACAAGGAAAGGGGCTTCTATTGCTTGGATGTATAGAGCTATGTAATCAAATGTCTTAATCTTTCCATGCAGAGAACAAAGAGATAGGGGCTTAGTGGGTCACCTTGCCAAAGGCCTCGAAACGGTTTAAAAGGATCTAGCATTTGTCCATTCCAGGAAATTCTCATCTCAGCCGTGGATATGCGTGCCATGATGATAGCAATAAAATGTGAGTGAAGTCCCAAAGCAAGAAGTGTTTCCTTCACAAACTTCCATTCAAGCCTATCATAGGCCTTTTCCATATCTACTTTGACGGCCACGTAACCCTTTCTAGTACGTTTTCCTCTCATAGTATGAATATTTTGTTAGGCAATAATGATATTATTACAACTTTGGCAACCTACAATGAAATTGCATTGATTAGGCTTGATGAGATGGTCCATGTAAGGGCGCAATCTGTTCACAATGATCTTTGTAACTGTTTTCAAAGCCATATTGCATAGCAAATTGGCCTAAAATCCTTAACTTTATGCGGATAGTTAATTTTGAGAATCAAAACTATATTGGTTTGATTAACATTTATGATTGAATTACCGTCCTCAAAAGAATTTCTGACAAGATCACAAATTTTTCCTCCAAGAGCATTCCACTGATTATGAAAGAAGTGGGCTTGGAGCCCATCTGGCCCAGGTGCCTTAAAAGCACACATGGAGAACACAATATTTTTTATTTCAATGGCTGAGGGCTCACTTTAGATAGATAATAGATTAGTCTTGGAGAGGGGAGGAAAGTGAGCCACTAAGCAACAAACTTGCTCTTGCACTTGTTCACTAGTATAAAGATTCTTGAAAAAACCATTAGCCATGCAGCCCAATTGATTCTGATCAAAAATCCATTCCTCTTGGTCATTGAGAAGTCCCTCAATGGTATTTTTCCTTCGTCTAACCTTAGTAGAAGCATGGAAGAAATGTGTATTCCTATCTCCTCTTTATAACCCACTTGCACGTGGATTTTTGAAATCATAAGAACTCCTCTTGGCTAGCAAGACGAAAGTACTCATCCTAGAGTCCTTTTTTAATTCTCTAAAAACCATTCTAATCATTAGGACTGCGAGCTCTATCCATCCCTTTAAGTCTATTCAAAATCTTTTTTTTTTCTTGAAAGGAATATTGCAGACTTGTGTATCATTCAAGTGGGAGGCTAAGGTTCTAAAATTTTGGACCCCATCTATCCAAGAAGAGTCTTTCCAAGCTTGGTCCGAGCATGTCCAATTCTATTTGCATCCTCACTGCACTAGTTTACACTTGCACTCCAATCTCTAAGACAAATCTTGAATCTCACATACCAAGTCTTTCTCCATATGTGTATATCATTATAGCCAACTTCAAGTGTCTCCACTAATGAGCATGCCAATACATGCCCTCCAAGCGTGTTTGATTTGAGGGGAGGTATTTTAATGAAGAAGATGGAAGGGAGGGATCTAGGAGAAGGGAGGAGGTTTTAATAAACCTTTGTTTGGTTTAAAAATAGAAAGAAAGAAAATAAAAAATAAGTTAACAATTTTATTCTTATTAAATTTAACTTGATTTTTTTTTTGTCTTTCAAAAAAGTTGTTATATTATAATTTATTAAGTTTTATTTAAAGAATATGAACTTATATTAATAAAAAAATTTGATAAAAAAATACATTAATATTATACTTTATCAGTGAGTCTAATAAAAAACATTAAAATTTTCTACATTAAAAATTTATATATTAATTTTTGTAAGGTGATAAAATTTATTTTATCATAAGAAAAAAACAAAGAGAAATAGTACATAATCTTTTAATGTTAATGATAGTTTAAAATTTTTAAAATGAATCTTTAAATAATATTAATCATTTTCTCTATCATTTCCCCCCTCCAAAAAACCCTAAATTGGAAGGGAGGGGAGCTTCCCTCTCTTCCCCTCTAATTTTTTAACTAAACAAGTAGTTTCCCTTTCCTCCTTGTATTAGAAACTAATCAAATAAAATAAAAGGGGCAACTCTCCTCCCCTTTCTTTTCCTTCCCTCCAAAAACTTGCAATCAAACACATCTTAAAACAAATCCACTGAGAGATTGACTTCTGTGGCCTCTTGCTATCCCAACGCAAGCCGAAGCCATCCCGTCCCTCGAGCGCACCATTCACATTATCAAACCCCTCTCGTTGCTTTTTTTTTTTTTAAAAAAAAATAATAATAAATAAAACACTATTAATAGCGGCCGCTCGTAATTTTTTGATGATATTCATGTTATGGGTATTGGAATTATTTTGGGCTACAAATAAATGCACCATCCCATTTAAGCTCCAAGACAAAAAAAACCTCATCTAGTTCCTGGCCTGCCATAACCATTCAAAATTATCATTCTTTTTTTTTTTTTTAAATCTGCATTATCTTCTTTCCAAACCAGGTACGGCTGGCACCAAACGTTCCCCAGGTCAAGCGTCAACTGTTAAGTGCTTTGTTCTTTTGCGTAGACTTGAGCGTTTACTCTCACAGGCGGCTTCGTGGCAACTGCTACAATCCATGAGAACTACGAATCCTACTCTACTTTTGATTTCTATTTTGGCTCTGTAGAATTTAATTCCATGAAGACCATACTTCGTCTTCTTCATCCAAACATGAGCTTCAATCATACAACTTCCGCTTCATCATCAAGGACCTTCTTCTTCCTCTGTTTGCCCCTGCTTTTCCCTTCCATTCTTGCTTCTTCTTACACCCCCGATGAACTTCTAAGCATCAACTGTGGCAACACCGGCATCTCATCGGGAAATGATCGGACATGGACCGGAGACGTCGACACTAAGTTCTTATCAAAACAAGACGGATCAGTTGCAGCTACAGCACTTACTCAATCTTCTTCTGCTTCACAGGTCCCTTACACCACAGCTCGTCTCTCTCGCTCTCAATTCTCCTATTCATTCCCTGTCTCTCCAGGCCAGAAATTCCTCCGCATCTTCTTCTACCCAGCTTCATACCCAGGTTTTGATCGTTTTGATGCCTTCTTCACAGTCAAATCTGGTGACTTCACGCTCCTTAAGGACTACAATGCTTCACTCACCGCCGATGCCAACAGAAAAGATACCATCCTCATGGAATATTGCATCAACGTCGGCGATGGTGAGAGGCTTAACTTAACTTTCACTCCAAATTCAACAAAATCAGACTTTTATGCATTTGTTAACGGAATTGAGATCGTCTCCATGCCCGAGGATCTCTATTACACCAAACCAGACGACCTAGGATTCAAATTTATTGGTTCGGTGGGCATGTTTAACATCTCCGACAATACTGCTCTTCAGCTAAAGTTCAGGTTAAACGTCGGTGGAGGCCTAATTTCTGCCATGCAAGACACCGGAATGCTCCGATCTTGGGATGGCGATGACAGTTTCGTCATCGGAAGTTTTTTTCTACCTACTGATATTCAGTTTGAGAGAAGACCCCTGGTGTTCAGTCAAGTTCCAAATTACACAGCTCCTGAGCAAGTCTATCGAACAGAACGCGATATGGGAAAGAACAAAACTGTGAACGTGAATACTAATCTCACCTGGGTGTTTCCTGTCGATTCAGGCTTTACCTACATGCTGAGACTCCATTTTTGTGAGCTTAATCCGGATATCAACATTTCCTATAACAGACAATTCAACATTTACATAGCTGACCAGTTGGCCGAGGATGGTGCAAATGTTTTGAATTGGGGCAAAGGAAAAGGTGTTCCTGTATATAGAGACTATGCCGTCGTTGTTTCAGGTTATGCAAAGTCAGCTTCTCTGTCGCTCAAAATGCATCCTACAGAGAAAACGTTGGACTTCAACGAGTATAGTGATGCATTCTTGAATGGACTTGAGATTTTCAAGATTAGTGATTCACAAAATAATCTCGCCGGACCTAACCCCGGTCCTCTTCCACCATCTCCGGCTAATCCAAATGATCTGCACCAGAAAAATACACGAAAAAGCAGCCGCAAGATTGTAATTGGGGTTATCGTTGGTGTTGCAGCTTCCGTCCTCGTTCTGATTTCCAGTATAGCATTCTTCCTCTTCAATCGTGGAAAGAAGGCCAGTAAATCTGGCAAGTCCAGCATCGGAACTTCCAAGTGGGCTCCGTTCTCGTTCGCCACAACAAAATCAGGGAACACCCCCTCTAATGCCTCATCTCTTCCGATGGAACTGTGCCGTCACTTTTCCATCGCCGAGATCAGAGCTGCCACCAACAACTTCGACGAGCTTTTCAAAGTCGGAGTCGGCGGCTTCGGCAACGTCTACAAAGGGTACATCGACGGCGGCCTCACTCCGGTCGCAATCAAGCGGCTCAAACCGGGTTCACAGCAGGGGGTCCACGAGTTCAAGACCGAAATAGAAATGCTCTCGCAGCTTCGTCACTCCCATCTAGTCTCTCTCATAGGTTACTGCTACGAAAGCAACGAGATGATCTTAGTCTACGATTTCATGGCTCGTGGGACCCTCCGTAGCCATCTGTACAGCACTGATAATCCAGCTCTTCCGTGGAAGCGACGTCTCCAGATCTGCATCGGCGCAGCACGAGGACTGCATTACCTCCATACAGGCGCGAAGCACATGATCATTCACCGCGACGTGAAGACCACGAACATCTTGATAGACGACAGATGGGAGGCCAAGGTTTCAGACTTCGGGTTGTCCAGAATCGGGCCCACTGGGCTCAAGGCCCATGTGAGCACAGTGGTAAAAGGAAGCATAGGATATCTTGACCCGGAATACTACAAACGACAGCATTTAACGGAGAAATCCGACGTGTACTCCTTTGGAGTAGTCCTCTTTGAGGTACTGTGTGGTCGCCCGCCTATAATCCGTATCGCCGATAAAAAACAGGTGTTGCTATCTGATTGGGCAATGAAATGCTTCCAAACAGGAAACCTAGGTCATATAGTGGATCCAGCTTTGAAAGGGACGATAGCACCGGAGTGCTTGAGAAAGTTTGGAGAGATAGGAGTGAGCTGTTTGCTTGACGACGCAACGCAGAGGCCAACGATGAACGACGTCGTTTGGGGGCTGGAGTTTGCTCTGCAGCTGCAAGAGAATGTAGAGAAGATGAGAGGAAGAGAAGGAGAAGATGATGATGAAGGAGGCAAGAAGAAGACGACGAGTGGAGAAGATAGTGATAGCATGTTTAGTGGTAGTAACAGTGTTGAGGTGGTTTCGGACTTCAATAAGAGTAGTGAAGTGAGCATGACAAGCAGTACTGAAGATCGTTGTAATAAGGATACTTCTAGGTTCCTGGATAGTTCTGTTTTCTCTGAGATTTTAGACCCAAAGGCACGATGAAGATGAAGATGATGATGATTGATGAGTTGGAGAAAACTTAATTACGAGACTACAAGAGCAAGAGAACTGGTGGATAATGATGAGCCAAAAGAAAGAAAAAGTATGTTGGATCTTAATTAAGTATATTATTGTTAATGACAGTTTATAGTGTGAAGCTCATCTTAAGCTTGTGTATATTGATGTGATGAGTTTTATTATCAACAACTTTACAGGGAATATGTATATATAACAAAAACAAATAAGAAACTTTATAGAGAATATACATTATTGCTCGTCCTTAATGATATAGTGAGTTTTGAAGTAGTTAAGTGTGGTGACTAGCATATGGAAATTTTGATATTTAGATACTACATTATTAAAAATTTAATTTGGCCGTATATTGTAGTTGTGTGTACATGTGCGTGTGGGCGCCTGTGGGGATGCATGTATCTGAATTTTCAGAGAAAAGGAAAGGTGCTCGAAAAATATCACATATGCCTAATAAAAGCTTACGAGTGAAAAAGGAAAGCCATAAAGAATCACCATATTTATCTATCCTGTGAATCATGTGATTCGTTGTAGACTATGTGCAAATAGGAATTAGTTTTCCTACCCATCCCAAAAATAAACATCATGTGCTCATCTTAAAATAAGATTTGAACCATTCATATTTTAATTTGAATTATCCAAATTTAAAGTATTATTATATTATTATACATTATATTTATTTAAATAAAAATTTATAAAAATTATAAAATAATTTTAATAATTTTTTATTTTTAATCTACTCTAGATTTAATTTAAAGGATCTAATTTAATATTAAAATTTTTATAATTAATATATATTAATTATTCAAATATACTCTGCATATATAGTTCAAGATTGTACAAAATACATTTAGATAATTAATATAAATCAATTATAAAAATTTTAATATTAAATTAGATCCTCTAAATTAAATATAGACTATATCAAAAATAAAAAAATTTATTAAAATTATTTTGTAATTTTTATCAAATTTTCTTTTCATAAATATAATACATAATAATACTTAATAAAATTTGAACTAATCTAAATGGTTTAGACCTCATTCCAAAAATGAACACATAATGCTCATCTTTGGGATAAACATGAAAACTGGACCCATGCAAATATGACCCCTTTAATACATTTGTTTGTTATAGCAAGAGATTTGAATATTCCTTAACCTTTCTTGAACTAGCCATGTATAGCTAATAATTTTTAATATAAAAATAGATTATATAGAAAAATTTTCTATGCACTTGTTTGTAATATAATCAGGGTTTAAATTTAAAACAAATCTTTTTTTTTTGTCTTCAATATTATCTTACAAATTCTTTGAATTATAAAAGAAATTCTATAAATAAAAAGTTCTTAAATAACAATTCGTAAGAGCATAAAGTAGATTGATCTTCAAGTTCTAGATCAGGCACCATAGTTCAAGTCACCCCTCTCCCCCATGGTGTTCACATATTGAGAAGATAAGCCTGCTATAACAATAAAAACAAAAACAAAAAAAAAAAATAGAATCAATACAAAGAGAAAATGAGCAAACAAACATATAAAATTTTGAGTTATCGCATCTTGACTTACAGGGATGCGACAAAACGATCAACAAAACAAGTGACTATAGTCCGGCCACAAGCAAAGAGAAAATGAGCAAACAAACATATAAAATTGAGTTCTCGCAGCTTGACTTACAGGGATGTGACAAAATGATCAAGAAAACAAGTGACTGTAGTCCGGCTACAAGGTTCAGTAGAATTCACCAGAAACTTATTCTCAAAACAAAGTAAACTCAAAATAAATCAAGCAACATTAAACAAAGTAAGTACACCATTGTAGAGAAGGATAGAGACGCCTTCCATGAGATTCAATGTCATTTCGTACCAAGGTGGAACCACCAATAGAGCTGTGAACAGAGCAGGAAGTAACCGATAATAATAGAGAACATTGTAAAAGTAATTATATGTGAATCAGTGTTGCAATCCCATTGTATGGGACAGAACTTGAGGATATCACATTACATGCATGAGATTTTTATGAAGATTTCCTAGTAATTAGATTAGACTCTCTAACCTCATACACTTACTTTTGGAGCATGACTCTCAAAAATTCCCATAAATTGCTATTACAGCCCTTCATTACATGTGTTTAAATATGAAAAATATTTGTGATGATGGAACTGGAGTAAAGAGTGTCAGAGTGATGAATGCAAAAGAAGCTTCTAGGGTTGGGAATGTGCTTTCAGTTTGAATAGCTCCAGAAAGTAACAATGTATATACTTTTATGCCTCCTTTGAATGTGCCTTTAAGAAGGTCATTTTGGGTTAAGAAAGTCAGTTTGGGTAAAAATTGTTACCCAAACAACTTTATGGACATTTTGAAAGTACAAATAGACTTTCTGAATGTAAAATGTTGGGTTACCAAGCAACCGTTAATATCAACTTTGAAATGCTTTTATCGAATTGAATGTTAGCTAGGTGCTCAAGTCTGTTTCTGCTAAGTAGCTAATTAAGTTACCCATTCAAGAGTTAAATTATTAAGAGGGGTTGTTAATTTCCTTGGGACAAAATGAGTTGTTAGGGGAAAAGAAAACAGAGCAAGAGACCACCATCGAAAGTATTAAAATGTGAATAATATAGGGAAAATAAAACAAGAATCCAGATACATAAAAAGGTGAACAATTGTTGTTTACAATAATTCTAGTTAGAGGATACCTATGTAAGATTTTCAAGTTTTTGCAAGATTGAAGAGAGGAGGGGGGGGAACAGAGGAAGACATGAACCAATCATTAACTCCCCCACTATTCATGTGTAATTAGAGTCAAAACATAAAATTTAAATTCGATGAATAGCTTAAATTTACTAACTTAATAAGTGTCTTAACTATAATTATTGAATTTCATCAATATTTAAAAATTATCAAAACACATTTTTCTTTAAAATTTTAAAATAACCTTCATGATCAAAATACTTCTTACATAAGTTATCCCTTTCAAAAATTTGAGATTTGATATTTTTTAAATATTATATAACAAAATCTCTTACATTCATTCAATTAAATTAAATAGTTGTTATTATAACATATAAGAAATTCATTGAGTGAGTAAACTTAGGCCACTCACCGGATTAATCTAAATCCCAGAATACCTAATTGGTGGTAATAATTAGATTAAGTGTACGGCCTATTTGTTTTCTACTTTTTTAAAAAAAATGAAAATATTCATTTGTTTAAGTGTTTGGATTTAAATGCATGTTTTAAAAAATATTTTTATTTTTTATTTTTAAAAATAAAAAATGGAAACAACTTAAAGAAATTTTCATTTTTTTATTACATTTTACCATTGTAAATTATTTTTAGTTATGATCAATCATTATTATAGGCCATTATCATAAACTAATATTCCACCACTATCGGTCTTTTTTTTTTTAGTCTTAAATTATTTTTAAATTAACATAACCATGCTAATATTTATTTTATTTTTTAATAAAAGTTTTTTAGAAGAAAAAAAAAAGAGAATAAAATCAAACAAGTCCTAAACGACTCAATTCTGTTGAAGTCAAACTAAGTGTTGAGGGTTTAATATTTGAACATGATTAATGGAACTCCATATCGTAAGTTGTAACCATGATTATGACATAATCTAATAATAGTTCATCATTATCCAAGGCAAGGGTACGGTTTAGTAACTATAATTAGGAAGCTACAGTTACAAGTAAAATCCAAATTGGCAATTTTTTTTTTAAATCGTTTGTAAGATTCAATTGACGTAATAATTATATTACAAAGTCTTATAGTTAAGCTATATTGGATCCCACAACAATTAAACCCAAATCGTTGTTATGTCAACGCCCAAAATATTTTGGGCCTACGCATTTTGGTATGCAATAATAAAAATATCTTATTTCCATTAGCCTTCTAATGACTGTAATAAATCATGTTATACTTGTATGTGACCACGGACATCATACATAACAAAACATTGGTCCCATATATCAACAAGAAATCTAAAAATGATTTGTGAATAGTAAATCTTCATGTGGCTTTTACAAAGATATTGACATTAATGATATTGATACATGCTCATCTGGCCCTATTTACAGGAAAAAGAAAAAAAGAAAATTAATTCTTTACATTCATGTTTATATTTTTACCTTTATTAAATGTTAAAAAATTATTAAAAATAATTATTTTTGTCCTTATTAAGGATAGAGAGATAAAAAATTATTAAATTTTAAGACAAAATCAAATGAGGTTTAAATTTTTTTTATTCTAATAAAACATATTGAAAGTGATTTATAAAAAATTATTTTTTTAATAGAAATATATTGATATTGATAGCTATGAGGATGTTGATTTTGCATGTTGCCTTCGTTGCATATAGCTGTAGAGGATGCTTGTGGGATCTAAGGTCCACCCACTTGGTCACATTAACTGCAGTTTAATTTTGGGTTTGGTTAATTCCCTTGCCTTGAAACCAAAGATAAATAACAACAACTATTACCACCATCATTACTACTACTACCACTATTATCACTACCACTGTTACTACTTTTGTTACTGCTGCTGTTGCTACGACTACCGCTATTATTGCTATTACTATTACTGTTGTTATTGCTACTATTATTGCTGTTGCTATCGCTGCCACTAGCACCACCACTGCTATTACTATTACTACTACTATTATTACTATTATCTAATTATAAAAAGCCCGACAATTGTTGTTTACACTAATTCTAGTTAGAGGATACCTATACAAGATTTTCTAGTTTTTGCAAGATTAAAAAGAGGAAGCAAAAAAAAAAAAAAAAAAGAACAGGCAGACAGAGGAAGACATGAACCAATCATTACCTCCCGCGTTATCCATATGAAAATAGAGTCAAAACATTATTGAATTTACTGAATAACTTAAATTTATTCACTTAATAGTATCTTAATTATAATTATTAAATTTTATTAATATTTAAAATTATCAAAATACATCTTTCTTTAAAAATTTAAAATAGTCATCATAATAAAATTACTCCTTACATATGTCTTCTCCTCCAAAAATTTGAAATTTGACACTTTTTGAATATTATATAAAAAAAATTCCTTACAATCACTTTGATTGAATCAGATAATTATTATTGTGTCATGTAAGACATTCATTAAATAAGTAGACTTAAACCACTCACTAAATCGATCCAAATCCCAAAACACCTAATAAATAATGGTGATTATTAGATCGAGTGTAAGGTCTATTTGTTTTCTATTTTAAAAAAATTGCTTTTAAAAA